TAAAACTCAAATCCGTTTAGCAGAAGCAATACAGAGATGATTATTAATTGACGTGGAATAAAAGAATGTCTCATAATTTGAGACATAAGTATCAAAGTTAGGTATCATATTTAAGACTGGTAAAAAAATAATCTGTAAAAAATATCTCTAGTATACAGGATGTCTCACAAATAAAATAAAGCATTTTCGAGAATGATCCTTCAGATTATTTTGATTGCATGGTGGGTCCGCATTGATATATTAGGAATCCATTTTGAAAATGTTAACTAACCCTGTAGGCCACAAAATTAATGTTTATAATTTTTAACAGGGCGTCAACGGTTTTTGTAGACGTATCTGTTTAAAAAAAACTAAAGTGTTCTTGAATAGGTGCATTTAGATGTTTTAAATAGTTTTTTTCTTTGTTCTTAGTGTTTTTTGCTTCAGACGATAGAATATACTTGCCGAAACGTTGAACATTTTTTTGTCTGTTAGGCAAATTTGTTTATTAGTAAACCACTGCTTGATTGATGTTTCATATTTTAATAACGTTTATATTTTATTAACAATTGGCTAATATTCTTAGTTGAAAAAAGTCATTATAATTTTAAGTACTGCATGGAAATCTACAAAATTGTTTTATGTAAGGAAAATTTATCTCTTTCCGTCGTCGCGTCGGAAGCAAAAATAATATAAAGAATAGAAAAAAAACTATTTAAAATATTTAAATGCAACTATTCCAGAACACTTTAGTTTTTTTAAAACAGATACGTCTACAAAAACCGTTGACGTTCTGTTAAAAATAAAATTAATTTGTATTTTTTTGCTTCCGACGACGGAAAGAGATATACTTTACAAAACATTAAGCATTTTTTTGTCCGTTAGGCAAATTTGTTCATTTTAAGCTACTGCTGACAATTAGTCTCCGTTCGATTAATACAGCAGTGTTTACAAAAAATAACTATTTTAAATCGTAGATTTTATTACAGTGAGGAAATACCCATAGGACTTTTTTGGAGAGATGAATCCGCCAGAGGTATATACATTTTTCATTCAACTTTTTAGTAAAATTATCTGAAAGAAGACTTCCTAAAATATACTTTACTTAAGAAACAACCTGTATATGCCAAACCTGTACCTGTAGTCACGAAATAACAACCTTTTATGATGTCTACATAAAATGAATAAAATGGGTGCAACTTACGTATTTGGACATTTTGGATCCTACCTGCTGCAGCATCTGTTGATGGATCTGTTGCGCTGTAAAGGACAAATGAGATTGTTGAGGAGTCGGTTGTTGGACGCTAGGGGAAGAAGGGGCGGTTGGGGTTTGGCTATAGGTGGCGCCTGTTGAGCCGCAGGCATGTGTGGCACTGGAGTGATGTTGTGGCGCTGGAGGATGTTGTTGTGCTGAGGATGTTGACACTGAGGATGTTGTGGCACTGGAGGATGTTGTGGTACTGAGGATGTTGTGGGCAAATGCTTTCAGGCTGATTCGACGCAGCTGCTCAGCAGGTACCGCCTCTCTTAGGGGTGCGTTAATTGGCATGGATTCCGCAGGCTTTGGTGTTTCAGTGGGAGTTGAAGTAGTGGTGGTGGTTGTTGTAGTTGTTTCAGTGGCTGTTGACGCCTAAAAATAGCATTTCAATTTAAAGTTAGATACCTTGTTTTTTGACATGAGAAATTCCGGACATTTCTGACATCAATATATCTGCGGTGGGCGTGTCACCTACATATTTTAACGGGTGTGAATAGTAATAACTTTTCGTCTGTACCTGTATAAAAGTACTGATAAAACATATCCGCAGTCTTTTACTTAAAAAAGGTCCAGATATTTGAAATCTAATTAATCAATACATGTCATTATTGACACAAATTAAACATGTTGACTTGGCAGTAACTAAAGTGAAATAATAAATTTGGGAATTTTAAGCAAAGGTTCAAGAAAACTGTTTCATCATAATTCTTTTTAAAAAAATGATGATTAATTAAAAAAGTCCCCGATTTACCATTTAAGTCAAATAATTATCTTATAATCTCACACACACACACACACACACACACACATTGGACAACACATGTTTATTTTCTTATCAATAATGACATGTCGTTATAAAATTTTCCAAATTTTTATTACAGTTAACCATCAAAATCATGAAAACGCTGCTAGGTAGAGAGAAATTCAAAGCGACAACATAAAGCAAACATGCAAGGGTGGATAGCATTAATGAGTGGGCTGAAGGGAAGCGACGTTAAATGAAATGGAACATATAAGCCGAATGGATTTGAGGAAGAATAGAAAAGGCCAGCCTGAGACAAAACACCACTGGGAAGAAGTACGGTGCCAAGAAGATGGCGTATCAATATCTATTGAAACCCAGCATGATGTGGGGAAAGAAACTTAAACAGCAAATTGCCTAATATAGAGTAGAAAGAAGAAAAAGAAGACTTTGTTTCTGTTTCTCATAATTGTTCAAATAACTTTCCGCATGATAGTTTATGATCCTAAAAGTCATTTAGTTAATGAAATTTCTTTTACCTTTACCTTTTTACCTCCATTGCTTTTTTTGGGTGTATAAATATAAAATAATAACACAAATTTTATAAATTAAATGAGAATTTCACTCAATCTTCCAATTTTTGCTTTATTTCTGCCACATAAATGACAGTGATTGACAAACAAAACCAGAAAAACCAGCCCTCCCGCACTGGTTAGTATGGTGAGACATTTTTCAGGAACCGTGTTCCGTAATAATAAAACTTTCAGGCAACCGATAAAAACGGACAATAAAACCATAGCCAAGGTAAGCAACGGAATACAGCCTTACTTCAGTATAGCCTATTACAAAAACCGTCATTCTGGCATTTTCAAAAATCCTCTTTAAATATGAAAACATAGCGTTTGGTAACACTAGTATAATTAACGAACTCTTGGTTATACTTTATCAAAATAAACATAACCTGATATCTTTCTCTAGTAGCTAGTAGACACACCTGCTTTCTTAGAGCTGCCTCCTTCTTCCTTTCCTGCCGTAAGTGATCTTCCTCTAAATCTAAATCAAGAATATTTGTCTTTTCACCGGCCAGTGCTTCTAGTTCAGGATCGGCATATTCCAGAATATTGAAATCTGCGCCCATTTCAGCAAGAAGTTCGTCGTCATCATCGCCCAACCCTCCAAGTATTTCACTGACACCTTGAAGCTCCGCCATTGTTCCTAATAAATATAGTTTTATTGAAGTAACTTACTATTAAAAGAATAGTATTAAACAATTATTATATAAATCTATATTATACATTTAATATTCTTGAACCAATTAAACTTTTAGTTACGTAATCGACGGCGCCATTTTTAAATTCATTGTTGCCAATCATGGACATATTCGGTGCCGGGCTGACTAACTGGAATTTAAATTTCCCGACGGAAACTGAGGTGGTAGCTCTGCTCTAAAAAACGTCAAGTTGCCACATTTATTTATTTATTTCCTGACATTGTCATTCGTTTTGACACTTAAGCTTAACATTTTTTACTAGCAGACCTTGCAGAGGAATACTGTTCTTTTTAGAACTTCTTTTAGTGTGAAGTGTACAGGGTGGACCATTTTGGTTGTTTCTATAGGGTATCTAGGAAATCGTGAGAAATATTCAAATTTTGATCGGTCGGTTGACAGTCTCGGGTTCTTTTTTTGAAAAAATTACAATGGCGCAAACGGATCTTGATAGGTTTCGAAGCTACAGGGGGATTCTCAAATTTTGTACTTTTTGAAGATGTTCGATAGTTTGTTTATTTCAGCTCCAACCACGGAAAAATGAATTATACATTATAAAGGCACATTCCTGTGTAGAATGCAGTGGCGTAGTCAGACTTTTTTCGAAAAAAAATATTTTTTTGGATATTAACTATACTTAAGTTTTTTTAAATAGAATCCCTTGTATATTTTTAAATTTTCTATTTCAGCTTGGCGTGGGCTTCTCGAAAATATATAACACTCTATATTTATTTTCACTATTAACCTCAACATTTCAAATTTTTCTTAAAATATCCACTTAGTAGATAGTGGGCCGCGCCGAGTAACAAAGTAATCGGTTGTCATGGTGATCGGGACATACCTTTGATGGATGCGTGACATTTCATTTCAACAGATTGAAGTGTGTGTATTTTAAATAATAAAAAAATGAGTAAATTTGAAAATTTTGAGAAATATAATATGTTAGAATGTTATATTGAGTCTAACAAACATAAGCAAATGGCAGCTGATTTATATTTTGAGCGGTATCCAGAGCGCGAGCAACCAAACCCAGCCATTTTTAAAAGGTTAGAAAATAGTTTAATCAATTTTGGATCTTTTCAAAAACCAGGTCCGAAAAATTATCAGAAAGAAAATGAAGAAAATCAATATATTAATGTCCTCCGAGCCGAATACATGAATTAGCAATTAAATAAAATCGAACAATACGAAGCAATTAAAAAATAAGTGTGACAGAAACAAAAGAACATATTTTAATATAAACTCAAGAGGTTACTTCAATCGGGCTTCTCAGTTAATATAAAAAAAGTAAAAACACAAAGACTACATTAAATGTTCAGACTGCTGCCCATTATTATCTACAGATAGAGTTGGTACCGTCTCCGCACGCCGCCGCTAACAGTATTTCAATAGCTCTACTTGATGTTGTTGGATCTAGTGTTACGGCTCCGAGGACATTAATATATCGATTTTCTTCATCTCCTTTCTGATAATTTTTCGGGCACGGTTTTTGAAAAGATCCAAAATTGATTAAACTATTTTCCAACCTTTTAAAAATGGCTGGGTTTGGTTGCTCGCGCTCTGGATACCGCTCAAAATATAAATCAGTTGCCATTTGCTTATGTTTGTTAGACTCAATATAACATTCTAACATAGTATATTTCTCAAAAGTTTCAAATTTACTCATTTTTTTTATTATTTAAAATACACACACTTCAATCTATTGAAATGAAATGTCCCGCATCCATCAAAGGTATGTTCCGATCACCATGACAACCGTTTACTTTGTTACTCGGCGCGGCCTACTATCTATTAAGTGGATATTTTAAGAAAAATTTGAAATGTTGAGGTTAATAGTGAAAATAAATATAGAATGTTATATATTTTCGAGAAGCCCATGCCAAGCTGAATAAAAAAAATTAAAAATATACACGAGGTTCTATTTAAAAAAACATAAGTATAGTTAATATCTCAAAAAATATTTCTTTCGAAAAAAGTCTGACTACGCCACTGCATTCTACACAGAAAAGTGCGTTTAGAATGTATAATTCATTTTTCCGTGGTTGCTGAAATAAACAAACTGTCGAACATCTTCAAAAATTACAAAATTTGAGAATCCCCCTGTAGCTTCGAAACCGATCAAGATAAAGCCACAATCCATTTGCGCCATCGTAATTTTTTCAAAAAAAGAACCCGAGACTGCAGTATCAAAATTTTAATATTTCTCACGGTTTCCTAGATACCCTATAGAAACAACCAAATGGTCCACCCTGTACAAGATAGCTTAATAGCTGTAAAAAACCCATCGCAAATTTATTAGAATATTTTGAACGGGAAAGCGGTAGTAATTGTTCTTTATGTCCTTTAAGTGCTATTAAGAAGGTGAGTTTTGCTGATGTAAATAATAACTGTTTATATATTAATAACTATTAATTTATTTTTGTTTCCTAAAATATTTTAATTAAAAGAAAATATGTAAAAGTGGGCAACGCTGTACAGATCAAGCTTAATCACGTGACTAAAAGTTTATTTGATACAAACTATATGTCTTAAATTCTTCAAAACCTACATTTTTTTCTTATACATGCAAAACAACATGAGCAAGAAATGCAAAAAAAATTAGTTGAATTAATTCTTAGTAACAATAAATACCTGTTTCTTGTTCTAGCTTTTCTAATTCGGCAGTGACATTATCGGGTATTTCTTGTTCGCCCGAGGGATCGCCTGAAGCTGCCGCCCCGCCACCCATGACAGACGATTGTGACACAGCTAACGAAGGTCTCTGAATGACCCCTGATGGCCTCTGAGCTAAAGGATGCCTTGGATTTGTTTGGTCGAAAGGTCCTCTACTATTCTGTAGGTTTTGTCTCTGTTGAATAAGTTGTTCGTATTGTTCGATGGTAGTGGGTCTATTTCCTCCTAAACTAGCGTATCGATTGGCGCCGGCAAGCTGCTGCGGCATGGGGTTAGATAATCGCTAAAAATGTAATGCATATTTAATTACAAGTAATTATAATCGAATAATAGTTCTTAAAAGTGTTGTCGGAGTAATTATATTTCTTCTTCTTACAGTGCCATACTCTAATAGAGCGTCGCACGGTGGGGTATTAGCATGAAAAAGGTGATCAAAATTCGAAAAAGCAAATGTGTTTAAGATTTTCCAAAAAAAGATAAATGATAAGTTAAATCATGTCTGCCATGAATGGCGTTGCTATGGGTGTGTTTAGTTGCATTCATTTGTTTCATTCAAAGTGGTTACTTCTCACAGATAAGAGGTAAATGGCTAAATTTTATGTTTAAAATTATAAATTGTTGTTGTTCTTGTGCTCTTTTTACGTTTATATTATTGTTTTGATTGAAAATGGCTCAGCAAGCTGCAGGTATGTATTCTACATAAACGTATTATTTATTTTGATATTCTCTATACTAACGATTTTTTTTGCAATTAAAAGATAGGCGTTCAGAAAATTTGATTAAATTTGTGACATTTTTATTATACTTAGAGGTTTAGTTGCGCATTTCGAAGAATTCAGCATATTGTCTATATACGTTTTACTTAGTAAACATTGGGCTTTCATACAGTAAAAATAAAATACTGCGACTTTTTGCGACTTTGCTGATAAAATGAGAAAACATTCTGGTTTCCCTCTAATTTGCCAATTAGTGATATACTAATGCGAGGTGTAAACCGCGATGGCATTGTTGTGTACAAAGCGATCGCATTAGGTGCCATTAGCAGTATAGCACAATTTGGCATTAGTAGCGACTTTAGTGGTATGGGCATTGCTCGCGGATCAGTCGTAGCATTAGTAGTATTAAAAATGTCTATACCTATGTGGCGGATTCATCTATCCAAAAAAACCTTATGGGTTTTTCGCCACTGCACTGCAAAAAAAATCTACAAAAATAAAATAGTTATTTTTTGTAAACACTTGCGTTAAACCTAAACGGACGCTGCTTGTCAGAAGTTCTGCTTTTACAGTAATAAAATTTGCCTAACAAAGAAAAAAATGCTTAACGTTTCGGAAAGTTTTCTTTCCGTCGTCGGAAGCAAAAAATATAAAGAATCAAGGAAAAAAAACTATTTAAAATATTTAAAAATTGAACTATTCGAGAACACTATTTTTTAAAATGCAGATGTCTACAAGAAATCGTTGACGTTCTGTTAAATGACATTATATTAAGTTAAACTTCAAAATTAACAATTACTACCTGATAATTACTTAATAAGGTAAAACCAAAAGCCCAAACTTTCTGTGTATGATTATTTTTAAATTTTACGTATGTTATGTTTATTTATGTAATGTTCTTTAAAATCAAAGAAGCGATCACATACATTACTAACATCTACAGATGCATGAGCAATACATTTATTTTTATTAGATTGGAATTAAAAAGCCTTTTTATTTTTCTTTTTTAGAGGCTATCGCTTCTCATTATAATTTTGGCGTTATTAAAATTTATTCTGTGTCTCTGTGTCCCATGAATGCTGACAAATCTTAGATTTGTGAAAATCTCCCCTTCTTAAATAATCTTTATGTTCTTTAATTCTAACATTTAGGGTCTAGATGTTTCACCAATGTAAAATTTATCGCATTCACAGGGTATTTGGTATATTACATTTTTTGTTTGTTGTTCTGTATTCATTGGTTTAGTATGTGATAAAATTGATCTAAGTGTATTTTTTGTGTTTTGAAGAATGTTTGTATGTTATATTGCTTTCCTATCCTTCTTATTTTTCCGAAACGCCTCGTATGTATGGAATTGTAAAGTTGTATATATTGTGTATTGTTATCTTTGTGTCTATGATTTGGGGTTTGTATTTCTTGTTTAATGTTTTGTCAATAAAATATGGTGGATAGTCGTTTTTATTAATGTATTTTTTATGTGGTTTATATCTTTGTTTAGTGAAATGTCATCTGTACATATTATTTTTAAAGATTATTTAAGAAAGGGAGCTTTTCACAAATCTGGGATTTGTCAGCATTCATGGGACACAGGGCACAGAATACATTTTAATAACGCCCTAAAAGAAAATAAAAGAGCTTTTTTTAATTCAATCTAATAAAATAAATGTATTGCTCATGCATCTGTAGATGTTAGTAATGTATGGCAATCGCTTCTTTGATTTTAAAGAACATTACATAAATAAACATAACATACGTAAAATTTAAAATAATCATACAGAAAGTTTGGGCTTTTGGTTTTACCTTATTAAGTAATTATCAGGTAGTAATTGTTAATTTTGAAGTTTAACTTCTAATATAATGTCGGTTTTAACAGAACGTCAACGATTTCTTGTAGACGTATCTGTTTTAAAAAGTAAAAGTGTTCTCGAATATTTTAAGTTTTTTTTTCTTGATTCTTTATATTTTTGAGCCTGACGACGGAAAGAGAAACTTTCCGAAACGTTAAGCATTTTTCTTGTTAGGCAAATTTTTACTACTGTAAACACACAACTTCTGATAAGCAGCGTCCGTTTAGGTTTAACGCAGAAGTGTTTACAAAAAATAACTATTTTATTTTGTAGATTTTTCTTGCAGTGCAGTGGCGAAAAACCCATAAGGATTTTTTTAGATATTAGTAGTATTAGTTGCGATATTACTACTGGCATTAGTGGCATTGACCGTGGAAACACTGGAACAGTGATTTTTCTTTCTTTTTTTAGAATCGACGAATTATCCTTTATTTTGTTCATATTATTTCCTCTTTAATTGAAAATAGCAATAATTTATATAAGGTCTACATAAAAAAATTTAGATCAACTATCTGTGTCAAATACCCCACTGTGCGTCGGCTACCTCTTGCATGTACTTGTGATGTGTGTCATCAGTGTTTCACAAGTACACGGGACCTACAGTTTATTGCCGAATCCGAACGGCTGAGAGGCTCTACAAGGCAAATATACTCAAGGTGGTTTGCCATTGCTTTCCTTGAGGTGGCGGCTCGTTGGTCGCTCTATTTAGATAAATATTTTTATTCAAATAAATAAAGCGACCATACTGGCTGGGGATCGAATCCAATACCTTCCGCTCCGCAGATCGACACATAACGCTGGAGCTACGGCCGGTCACATTATATTTAATAAATATAATTACTAAAAAAACATTATTTAAATAATTCTTAGTATTAATAAATACCTGTTTCTTGTTCTAACTTTTCTAATTCAGCAGTAACATTATCGGGTATTTCTTGTTTATTTTATTTAAAATTTGCGATAAATTTTACATTGGTAAAACATCTAAACCCTTAAATGTTCGAATTAAAGAACATAAAGATTATTTAAGAAAGAGAGATTTTCACAAATCTAAGATTTGTCAGCATTCATGGGACACAGGGCACAGAATAAATTTTAACAACGCCAAAATTATAATGAAAGAAGCGATAGCCTCTAAAAGAAAAATAAAAGAGGCTTTTTAATACAATCTAACAAAAATAAATGTATTGCTCATGCATCTGTAGATGTTAGTAATGTATGGCAATCGCTTCTTTGATTTTAAAGAACATAACATAAATAAACATAACATACGTAAAAATTAAAAACAAATTAAAAATAATCATACAGAAAGTTTGGGGCTTTTTGGTTTTACCTTATTAAGTAATTGTTATCAGGTAGTAATTGTTAATTTTGAAGTTTAACTTGATATAATGTCATTTCAGTCAACGGTTTTTGTAGACGTATCTGTTTTAAAAAAAAACTAAAGTGTTCTAGAATAGTTGCATTTAAATATTTTAAATAGTTTTTTATCTTCATTCTTTGTATATTTTTTTTTGCTTCCGACGACGGAAAAAGATAAACTTTCCGAAACGTTAGGCATTTTTTTGTTCGTTAGGCAAATTTGTTTATCTGTAAACCTAACTGCTAACAAGTAGTTTCCGTTGGATTAACGCAGCAGTGTTCACACAAAAAATAACAATTTTATTTTGTATATTTTCTTGCAGTGGCGAAATACCCATGTAGGATTTTTTGGGGTAATTATATTTAGCCGTTTTAAATATAGAAAAGTCAATAAAAGTTAGCGTGCATGTCATCAAAGACGTCAAAACTGTTACCAAATTCGCGCACTTTTTCTTTTTCTTGTAACATTTATATTTTGGTTAAAAAAGACATTGACCGATAGAGGCTTTTTGTTGGTAGTCATGGCAAAAGCTGGTTATAATGAGCTTTTTCTTTGCAGATTTGATATTTGTTATTGTCGATTTTATTAATTTGTACTAATCTGACATTTCTCAATTTCAATTTTATTCTGAATTTTCTTTGACAAATGAAGAGCACAAGGGAAAGATAAACGATGAGTGTCCAAAAACGGCTCCATGTTCAGGAAAGCGTTTTTTAATTCAAATTACGCTATACTTTTATCGTTTTTCCCATGTTTAAATGCCTGTTTCTATGTAACCGTTATCGATTAGATATGAGCAAAACTGCGATTGCGATTTTTAAATCGCAGCGACTGTAACCTGCGATTGCGATTTTAATATTTACCAAACCAAATTATTAGTAAAAAATGCTTTTCCTAAATATTCAGCCACCCTCGTTCCATTTGAAAAAATTGAGATATGATTAAAAATACGATTAGGGCATCTTGATTAAAAATTAGTGTTTTTAACATAGCCATGACATTCTAGATTGGAATGTAAAATGCGCCAATTATATACGTCATATAATAACAATTGAATACGTCAATCAATCCTAATTTAGTCATTTCCGGTGAAACAGGAAGTGAACGAATTCAATGCGTCAATTAATCCTAATTTATGTTATATGCTAACGTACCAAATCTCGATTTTTTATCAGAAAAAATAAAACAGTTATAGGGGCGAACGACTCTTGATACCCCATGGTCTTGACACTAAAAAATACCTTCTCTGTAACTAAATAAAATCAGAGAAAACATTCAATCGCAGTTTACTATAAAATGCTTCAACGGACCACAAAATTACATTTGCAACAAAATCGCAACTCCTAAAACTTCAGACTCGCAGATAGGAGGTTATCACCTGTAGGTTATCACGGTACTAGTTTAGAAAATCACAATCGCAGCAAAATCGCAAATCGCAACTATAGTAATATTGGTAGCCTAAATTGAAACTTGCAAATAGAAGAAATCGGAGTCGCTAAGAGAGCCAATCGCAGGTTGCGATTGCGATTGCAGTTTACAATTTGTTGGTCATCTCCACTTACTACATAGTTCTGCCTGAAAGTCTCAATTTTGAAGAAAATACCCAATTTTGACGAAAATTGACACAGACTAGTTCTAATCTAAGGACGATATGCGCGTTTGTGAATATCAAAATATATGTACTCAGAACGACCGGGTACTCAAAATAGCGGGACCGATTGCTTAAAAATCCCTTGCGTGTATTAGACGGACAGCTGGCTACCTTAATCATCGTTACAGGGCTTATCATCGTTACATGGCTAATTTTTCTTGTGAAGTATCCTTTTGTGTGGCCATTATAAAATAGTGGCGCGATAAAATAAACAGCGCGATCCGGGGCTTAAAGGGGGGGGGTGGCCAATCGAAATGGTGAAATTTTGACAACAAAAATATTATAAGGTACACGAGTTATAATTGTCAAATAGCTTTTATTTATTATTAAGAAACGTGGAAAATTGTTGGCAGACATTTTTCTTGTGGCTAAAATGCCAACGCGACAACGCGAAAGGCACGAAATTTTGACAAAAAAATCATCGCATACATGCATGCCGATGGGTGGAATGTCATGTTTATTTATTTAAAAAGCCGCATGCAAAAGGGCAGCCAAAAAATCGTGGCTAAATCAGCGGTAGACGGTTATTAAAAGCGCGATATTACTCTATAGGAGTCTTGAATAAATGCAAATATTTTCAGAGCCGGTAGATTTCGATAAAAGAAACATATTTTCTCTTTACCGTTTTCCAAACAAGTCCAGAATAACCGATTTGTTCCAGTTTGAAAATTTAAAAAGATTGAATTGATTTATTTTTAAATAATTTTGTGAGCCACCTGTTTTTTTTCTTCTGTATTTGCATCCGTTCTTTTAGTGTCGTAACCATAGAGTAAAGCCGTAAGCATTGTAGGTTAAGAAATAATTATACCGTGGATAAATGTGCGGTGAGCAGACAGTTCTTCAATGCACGATTTTTAACATCTTTTTTTGCGAAAAAAATCTCATAGACGTGTTCCTGGGGTCGAAATATATGACCTCTAAAAGTATTTGCACTTATTTAAGACTCTCCCTGTATGAGCGTTTTCAGGAAACGCTCGCGGCGTTATCAGTTGAAACATAATACATGTAAGTAACAAAAATTTTGCTGTGCAGATATCGACTCAGAGTGAAGACTCGTTTGCGAAAGCAAGGATCTGCAGTACGATGTACGATGAGTCAGATAGAAATAGTGAGACTTCATGCCTCTTTCGCGTTGTCTGCCGGCATTTTAGCGACGAGAAAAATGCCTGCCAACAATTTTCCACGTTTTTTAATAATAAATAAAAGCTATTTTCGCAATTATAACTCATGTACAGTGTGGGTCAAATTCGACGCTTTTAAATGGAAACACCCTTTTCTATAGGAGATAGACGAAAACTAATATCGGTGTGTGGAGCTCAGTTTTTATCAAAAATATGATGGTGAAAACCGCACATCAATATCTGTTACCTTTTCGGAGTTACGGGGTGTTTTTCAAAAATGTGTAGTTTTAACAAATCGCTGTAACTTTTTTGCTATGGAAAATTTTGTATTTCTATGAAAACATTTCCAAAGCACCTTTTTACGTAGAATTTAATGGTTTAAGTATAATTTTTTTAAAATTAATAATTTAAGAGTTATCAACAGGAAAATTGATTGTTTATTTGGGACACCCTCTATGTTTTTAAATAACTGAAAAGAATTTAAAATTACCTTTCCAAAAATATAGCACACTTGATATTTTGTTATAATCCCCTTCGAAATACAGAATATTTAAAAGTTCGCCACTTTTAGGTAGTAGGCTTTGGACCCCTTATTGATGATATGCCTAATGGAACTCGAAAACATATTTTTCCAGCAAGACGACGCACCGCCTCAGAACGCTGAAGTATCAGCAAATTTTTGTAGTCAATTTCAAGAATAATTGAATAGCTAACCAAGATCCCAGCCGTTGGCCGTCGAGGCCGCCTGACTTAGTGCCCATGGATCTAATCCTATGGATATATTTGCGGAAGAATAAGGATGCGGAAGAATAAATGTTCCTTATTCTTCCATATAATACAGGATTCAATACAAATCAATTGAATACGTATATAAATCCTGATTTATATCATATACTAACGTACCAAATCTCGTTTCTTTATCTGAAAAATAAAATAAAAAAATTATAGAGGTGAGCCACCTTAAAAAAATAGTTCTTTAAGATCTTTTAAGAATTGGATAAAGAATTAGATAACTGAGAACCGTAGAAAGAGTAGGTATTGATATGTGTAGTTGCAGCAGTTACAGCTTATAAAGTTTTAATACATATACTACGTTTTGCAGATGTTAAAAAAAATCTTAAAAACTAAACAACTGATTTTTATTGACTTCTTTTAACTGTTTAGCTATAGGTATATACACAGACAATTATATACCTAGTACAATATTTAAATATTAAAATCGCAGTCGCAGGTTACAGTCGCAGCGATTTAAAAATCGCAATCGCAGTTTCAATTGCGATTGGAGAATCGCACTTTTGCTCGTCTCTAGTAGTACAGTACGTCTGTCCGTTCTGTGGCTACGGGGTATCCGTGAGAGGGGAAACGATATTCTCTCGATATTTTTTAAGTAGCCAATAAGATGTTCTCGAAGTAGCCAATAAAATGAGTGGGCGGAGCGATTTGCGGTGACGTACTCGTCAAGTCGACGTACAAAATATATTGCTGTTTATTTAAATGTCTTTTGTCCGCATTCCTTTCATAGACACAGATCCAGCAGACGAACTGTAAAGCTTCGTGGATTGAATGCAAACTAATCTAGCCCATTGACATACAGTTCGTCGGCAATCCAGAACTGTCGATTTGTATATCGTCAGTTAAAATTTCTGCCGCTATTGCTGGACAAGTGAAAATGGCAGTGCTGCCAAAGCATTTCCCAGAGGTTACTCTGACCACCGACCAGCAAACGTCTCTAGAAGAAGCTTATACTGGACGAAATAGTGACGATCGGATCCCAACACGACGATCTACAAAATGTGGGTCAGCTGCGTTTTGCGGGGATACACTTTCGGGTGGGCATGATCCTCATAGATTGTGTATCTCAAGAATCGGCGAATTGGTTGGTGGAAATCGCACCTAAGCTTAAAAATGGACAAGGGCCGGAACTGGTTGCAGTGAAAGGAGAAAACATCCCTAAAGAGGCGGCTATCACGGTCTTTCTGCTGAGAAACAAGGGGAAAGACACCACCTACCTGCTGAGCTTTAACCAGGGTCAGAACTTCAATATAAGTACATCGAGTTGGCGAGTCATCAACTCGAGGGAGGAGGGCCATGGTCAGGTCCTCACAATAGGAATTGACCTCATATCCAAGGAGGCAATAGAGAAAGAGGGACATATCCTCTATTATAGATACGGGACAACACCGATATCAGGTCTAAGGAAAGACCAAGTTAAAGAGGTGGAGAAAATGGAGACAGATCCTCCAGCCACCACCTCACGGGTTCCTCAGCCGGAGGCAAGTTCCTCGACTGTGAAAGGCGGCACGGGGGGCCAAACTCCAACCGTGGAAGGGTGTGTACCCTCGAAGGAAGAACTGTTGTCAAAGGAGGATGGGAAATACCCTATCCCCTCTACAACAGGGGTATGATGGGTTATAGACTGTGTGATAACTCAAGGAAGGGGGGCACAATAGATCTTTAAGGTCGCAGTGATTAACCCCCCCCCCTCTTACTCATTCTACATTCTCCAAAGACCGCGACAGAACAAATCTTTTAAAAATCCTTTACGTGTATGGGCGGCTATTGGCCATTTCAAATCTGCTTCCTATTGTCTGTGCAATCAATCAAAATAAAACTAAAACTTTAACTTATTTCCGTGGTCTGTGCTTTAATGCTTACGACAGAGATAAATATATATGCCACCAGTTGACAGACAGAGACAAAATAAAAAGCGGCATACAGTGTTGCCGGTTCGTACCAAAAATAAAATAATAAACGAAGATAATATATGAGGCCTCAAGTTTTAAAACCCGCCTTATCCAACAAACGTTGTTTTGAGATAATAAGCAAAAACTGTTTTAGCAAATGTTTGAAGCATTAATTTACAAAAAACGTGTCCATTGAGTAGAATCATTGTTTTGTATCTCGTTTTTCTAGAAATCAAAATTAATATTTAATTTTTAAAGAGAAAAAAAAACACAAAAATAATTCGGATAAGGCAGGTTTTGTTGCAGTATGATGCATATTGCGGATTTTTATATAATATGATCAAGAAAAACGGCGTCAGCGATGACTACGAAATGAAGAATGCTGTCATTTTATATGTAAATTTATATAGACAACTGGACGTCGTTTTTTTCGATCATACGGTATTTGCATCCTAACTTGATTTATTAAATATCCTACTTTATTAAAATTAAGTAAGGATTTGAAAAATCGTCAGTAGTGACATCATTAGTGATACTTGTGTAAAAAGCTTATGAAAAAATGCGGGATTTGTAACAAATTTCGTAACAATTTATTTTGTAGATTTTCATCTAGTGGCGAAAAATCCAGAAGTATTTTTTCAAGAAATGTACCCGACACAAAAGTATACATTTACAATTCAGTTATTCTTTAAACACTACTGAAATTATAGGTATTACAAAGATTCAGTTTGTAACAATTCTGCAATATCTTCAAATTTGACTTTTTCAGGTGTGTATACAACATCCAAATAGCTAAAATAAAGTATTATTTATTAGTAAAACTATGAAAACATATTAATAAAAATCATACGTAGAAGTATGGCGCATGTGATTGTGTTCATTCAAAATCACCATCAAGAAGAATCATCGTGCATGTGATCGTGCATCGCTTTCCTAATTAGAATAGCAGAAATTCTGGAAACAAAAAGAAGTCGTCAAAAACATAACTATTATTCATTAAAAAAATTAAAAAAAATCATACCTAGGGTCAAGTGGCATGTCTTGATCCAAAAAGGGGGGCATCAAAATTAATTCGTATTGTTACCGAATCTTCTGATAAGTCTTCTGCAGCAAGAGATATAGAATCAGCATTTCTGGAAACAATAAAAAATAAATAACAGCGAAATATGTGTGAATTATAGTTTTTTTTTGGTAAGCACGATTATTTTGATTAGTTTGAACACTGTCTATACCGGGTGCATCTCAAAAGTGGCTCACTCCTATAACTTTTTTAAATCAGTATCTGACATGAATTACGATTGATTGACGTATTCAATTGTTTTCGGTTATTTCCTGTTTCACCGGAAATTACTAAAACTTTCGATTTTTAAATTGCACCTTCGGTGTTTCGTAACTTTATTCAATAGAAAATGACACTCTGAATAGAATGACATATCATACGTCAATTTCGACATTTTCGAATATGGTTTATTAGAAATTACAACATGCGATTCATAACGACAATTTGACTCGAAATACCAAGTGTGTGGTACCAAATTATTCGTTAGAAAATGCTTTTGTGAATGAATATATATTCAATTTATAACTTTAATTGATAATAGTGATGGGCAAAACTTATTTTTAGATAACAATTGAAACTGTTATAGTTATTTATAAAAAACAGCTTAAAATAACAGCTTAAAAATAACAGGTTTCTTCATTTTATTGCTAAATATCTGAAAGAGTATGAGGCGGTCACCGCCAGGCGTATTAACGCAGTTGCAAGTTGCAACAATGACGTGCTCGGTGGTAATATTTCCAGGGCAAATACGTTTAAAACAAAGTATACGGAGGGTACCGCTTAAATTCCTGTCCCGATATTGAAGGATGGCTATAGAATTTCAATGCATTTCCTACATAAGTCTATCCTTGGTTTGTAGGAGGTTTGACTAAACAAGGATGAACCTATGTCTTGAAACCATTCGACTCGATTTTCTGTCCTCCTTCAATACTGGGACGTAAATCCTCTCATTGCTCTTATGGGGAGGCCGACGTATATTTTATTTAAACGTATTTGTTCCAGGGTGTCATAACATTTCTAAATATCGATTGTTCTAAAATATCGGTGATCTAAAATACCTCTCTAAAAACGGTGGTTGTTTACAAATAAGCGCTGTTTACAAATTGCGATATAAAAAAGCCAAAATGCCGCCACTCGTCTATACCTATACATTCCGATCTACCTACGCCCTGACCCTCGATCCGCGTAGATCATGAATGCGTAGCAGTGTACAGGGTGCATCTCACTCGACGGGCGAGAAGCTCTTAGTTATGATTTTCCCATTTGCGGTCAAAAATAGCAATATAAGAAAATGTAGTATATTCTTCATAAGTAAACCAACTACACACTTTTCGAATTAATTTTACACTTAAACTAGCGTGTACCCGCGACTTCGTTTGCGTCGAATTATTAATTTGTAATGATGATGATAAAGCAAAGCAAGAATTTCCATTAACATACAAACTGGATAAAATTTTCTCACATTTGCCGAAAATAAGCTTTAAACGTCGAGCAGATTAAGCAGAATCGTGGTTAATCAATTACTCAACTTTTTGGAACACCCTGTATGATTTTTTAAAAAAATTCAAAATATGTAAAAAAACAAAATAAATTATGCGTATCCAAGCGTTTTCCCGAAAGACTAACCGTTTTTTAAATAACAAATATTGTAATATTTGAGGGGCGTTTTCACCCTCTTGGAATTTGAGATTCGAGAAACCCCTCATTATCGAACCTCTACACCCCACAGTCAATCTTTTTACCAAAAATCAGCTTTAAACGTCAAGCAGTTTAAGCAGAATCATGATTACTCAATGGTCATATTTTATGAAACACCCTGTATATATTTTTTTTTAAATCTTAAAATATATAAAACAACAAAATAAAATATACGTGTTTAAGAGTTTTTTCGAAAAACTCACCAGTTTTTAAATAAAATATATTCTAATATTTGAATGTGGTTTCACCCCCTTAGAATTTGAGTTTCGAAAAATCTCTTCTTATCACCCTAAAGTCAATCCGTTTTCCAAAAATCAGCTTTCTACGTCAAGGACTTTAAGCAGGATCGTGATTAATCAATGACCAGATTTTTCAAAACACCCTGTATACATTTTTAAAAAATCTTAAAATATTATTCCGAAAATTTTTCAGAATAAATAAATACCTAAATATTGAAACTTAATAACCAAGTACTGAAACATACAGCGCCAGACCTCCGCCCGTTATGCTCGTAACAGGTTGAAAAACAATGTATCTAAAACAACTGATGCATTATTCTCCAACCTGTTTCGAACCTCCATTGACAATCGACCGATGCAGCAGCGTTACTTTCCCACTCCGATTATCCCTCGACCGCCGCTCTGTTATGCTCGTAACAGTTTAAAAACAACGTAGCTAAAACAACTGATGCGTTATTCTCCAACCCGTTGCGAGCCTCCATCGACAATCAACCGATGCAGCAGCGTTCCTTTCCCACTCCTGTTATCTCGACCGCAAGGCGTTATGCCCGCAACTGTTTCAAAAAGCTGCTTCTTTTATATCCTATTATTTTTAAGCTGTTGTAAGCCCAACACGCCGCGCCGCGCCGTAGCGCATACCCCACTCCGTTGTCCGTTGTATATCGCCGCCTGTATCGATGGTTGTCGAAATAACATGTTTTCCATCCATACTAGTTGTTTTTTGGAATTGCTTCGAGCAGCATCGAATTTCGTGCGGTGCAGAACGCCAACTTCTTTTCACGAACAGTCGATCTCTGCGTGTTGTTATTTTATATCTGTTATTTTTTAAAAGTAGTAACGGTTGCGTTATGTTATTTCTAAATAATTGTTATAAAACAACAGATAGTTAAATAACAACCCATCACTAATTGATAATTTATTTACGATCATGTATATAATGGTGGCTAAAATAAAAATTGGCGAAACGTTAACTTAATGGTATAATTTCAAATTAATCCAACAATACCTAGAGCCAAAATCCCAATAATACAAAAAATATAATTATATTCAGATTGTCATTTTCTATGGTATAAAATAAAAAAAACACCGAGGATGCGTACTTTACAAATAAAAAAGTTGTAGTCATTTCCAGTGAAACAGGAAGTAGCCGAAAAAAATTGAATACGTCAATCAATTCTAATTTATGTCATACTAATGTATCAAATCTTATCAGAAAAAAATGGCGCCGGGAGGCACGTATAGCCGCCCATACTAAAATATGTTAATAAAAGTTATTTTAGGCAGTTCTTTTTAGTTTCAAAGTAAAAGAATTTTCCCATTTTGGTCCGCGGTTAGGTTAGTTATTTCCCCTATCCGCCACCTGGGGTCGCGTCCGATGGGAGTTTGTACTTCTCCACACGGATTTTCTCAAAAACGGACTACGGAAACACAGAATATCTCAAAAACTGCGACTTTGACTGATTTTGATGTTATTACAAATTTTGTTGCAAATATTATTCCTAATCTTAAATTGAAAACCGCGTTTCGCTAGCTACTGTAATTTTGGAGTTACGATTTTTAACCCCCTCTCATACCCCCTTACCAACCCCCCACCCCCACCAAAAACTAATGGCCAGATTCTCGAGGGCCACAGTATTTTTGTGCCAAATTTGGTTAAAATCGGTTTAGCGGTTTTTGAGTTACCGTGTTACAGACGGACAGACAGACACCATGAAAATATTTTGTATTTAGGTCATATATGACCCAAATAACTCATTTTGAGTGAAATTAACAAAAAAATTTTTTGCCGATCTTAATCGCCTACCATACCTGTTGGTCTGCTAATAAAAAAGTTATAGGGGTGAGTCACTTTTGAGACGCACCCGGTATATTAAAAAGTCGTACAATGTATTGTGAACTGCCGCATAAAATGACTACTGAATAAAATGAAAATAAATTTTTGCAGAATTGTTTTTCAATATTGAAGATTATTTTATACCTATTAATTAAATAGATCTGTATTTCAAACATAAAAAATAAGAATTATTTAATTATACGCATTTAAAATAGTTTTTGTATATCTAAAGATTTTTTCTACATATTTCAATAAGTGTAATTAATAAAAAAAATATACCGGGTGTGTCTGAAAAGTGCCTCACCTTTATAACTTTTTTATTTTTTCAGATAAAAAACGAGATTTGGTATGTTAGTATACCGGGTGCGTCTCAAAAGTGGCTCATCCCTATAACTTTTTTATTTTTTTTTCAGGTAAAACAACGAGATTTGGTATGTTAGTAAATGACATATTTTGGGATTGATTGACATATTCAATTGTTTTCGGTCACTTCCGGTTTCACCGGAAATGACTATAACTTTTGATTTTTAAATGACACTCTGAATAGAATGACATATCGCATGTCAACTTTTGACATTTTCTTTATATAGACTTTTTGAGACGCCCACTTTTTGACTTTTTGAGACGGCCACTTTTGAGACGCACCCGGTATAACATAAATTGGGATTGATTTAAGTATTCAATTCTTTTTGGCCACTTCCTGTTTCACCGGAAATGACTACAACTTTTGATTTTTAAATGGCACCCTCGGTATTTTTTACTTTATTCAACAGAAACTAACATTCTGAATAGAATGACATATCATATGTCAACTTTTGACATTTTCGTTTAAAACAAAATTGCATTTTAAATAACAATCTAAAATACGATAGCTGTGTTAAAAACACTAATTTTTGATTCCCAAAGATTCCCAAATCGTATTTTTAATCATATCTCAATTTTTTCAAATAAAACGAGGGTGGCTCATTAGCATATTTGGACAAAGCATTTTTTTAGGAATAATTTGGTACCATACATTTAGTATTTCGAGTCATATTGTCGTTATGAATCGCATGTTGCAATTTCAAATAAACCTTATGCGAAAATGTCAGAAGTTGACATATGATATGCCAATCTATTCAGAGTGTCATTTTCTATCGATTAAAGTAGCAAAATACCGAGGGTGCCATTTAAAAATAACAACCGAAAACATTTGAATACGTCAAACAATCCTAATTTATGTCATATACTAAATCTCGTTTTTTATCTGAAAAAAATAAAAAAGTTATAGGGGTGACTTTTGAGACGCACCCGGTATAACAT